TATTGGGATATTATTTCCACCTTAAAGGAAATGCAGGAAAATTATTCAAAAACTTATTGTAGCAAAATCCTTAAGCTATCTGGCTGAAACTAGACAAGATTAAAGTTTTCTAAAAGATCTACCATTTTGTCTTATTTTGCCAAAAACTAAAGCAGCTGCAGGCATTTTGATGCTTCTCCAATAAATACTGTAATTGAAATTTTATCAGATCACATCTTGCACCAATTGAAATAAAGCCTTGGTGCTTTTGAAATTCAAATTCAAATCAGAATTTGCCAGCTTTGAACCTTGAATCAGTCTTCACTGATCTGCACATATCTATTAGATGAACCTCAAATTTACATCTGAAACTACATTAATTTATATTAGTTTCTCCAAACTAGAATGGTATACTTTGCCCATCATTTACATATATAATACCATGATTGGATGTTACAGGTGGACCAGCCAAATGAGAAATAAAGAAGACTCTATAATACATTTTAAAAAATGTTTTTTTGATTTTTAAAATGGCAATGAACAAGAATGATTTTTCCTTATTAAGAGATACAATAATAAAGAAACATAATCCATATGTCTTACACAAAGTAATATATTTATATGAAGTGTTCATATAGCACAATGCCCCATTCAATCCACATTTTAAGAGAATCCAGCCAGTGTCTTAACTTGTTGCAATGAACCAAACCATAATGTCCTGCAATAACAGTTTATCTGATGAGGATACAATACATCTATGTTATTAACCAGGATTTAGTGACTGAGTACTTTTTCTTAAAGATGTCTCAGAAGAACTAGGTGTACTAGCAAATCCTTCAGATCTTATAATCACACCAACATATCTTTATTTAAATATGTTCTTTTAAATAGCTTCCATTTAAAAGCAACAGAATGCTGTCTGAGATAATAAAATATTGTACTTTCCTTCAGTTTAAAATCTAATCAAATTTCCTGACTCAAATCTCCTCTAAATCTCTCCACAATCTTCAGAAAACAGTATCGGCTGAGGGAAAAGATGTGGAACCAGTTTCACAGTTGGGTATGAAGCTTTGAGAACTGAGAAAACACTGAGAGCTTTCAGTTGGAGTTTGTTGGAATGGAGATGCAGCTTTGATTCCTGCAACACTGACTCTATAGGAACTTGATACAGGGTTGTTTTACGGCTGTTCTTTAGGAGTTTGTATATTTTTCTGAGACTCTGTTTGCCTAAATATAGGCATAGAACAATTATAAAACAAATACTACAAAGATAAGGCCATGCTCTAAGCATTCTTCAAATTCTACCCATCCCTTAAAATCTTCAGGAAAAGATCTCATCCTATCCCACCATGAAATGCTAAAAATGTGATGTTCAGCATTAACTATTGTTTACCTCTAATTGACTATTTTAAGAAAACATGCTCCAATTTCAAAGCCATTTCCTTCAGTGACATGACAATGTGTATGTTCAGCCTCATCCTTATGCAATGGGTTGGGATTAGTTTACACTGAGGAAGTTGATTTATTCATAGAAATTTCAAGGAATAAAAGTCTCTGTCTTATCCTCAGATCTGATTTGTTCAGCTTTCCCTTATGCCTGGGAGAAAAGAGATTGTTGGACCAAATTTGAGTGATTAAAGGATTCCTAGCCAATATTAAAGTTTTCAGGATTATAGAACATCAACATTTTTTAAATGAGGGATACATGACATTCTTTAAAAAGCAGATCCAATAAAGATTGTAACAAGACATTTGTTAATAGGATTTTTAATTTTTTCCCAGCACTTAAAACATCAATTATAAACTTAAGCAGGATGTATATATTGTTATATGATGGCATATTTTACTAATGTCTGGAGGGAATTGTTAGGGAAAGAGCTGGACTAGTATTCACCCCATATTATTCTTTTTGGAATATAAACTGAAATTTCATTTTCACTAAAGTATTGTACACTGGCAAAGATAGATGTGCCTTTAATGTTTTTTTTTAATTTAAACATATTCTCTTTCATCTAAAAGCCTTCTAGTACTTTTGTTTTCCAGTTGCTTCAATGTGATACCTGAAGAGGGATCTGCTTGCATTTCCTCTCCATTTATGGCTTCACTGTTCTGAAACCACTGTTGACCAATGAAAATAAATGGACTGAAAACAGCTTTGTGTTATTAGGGATACACTGGCTGTTCTCGTAAAAAAGTTTAGAAACACTGTCCATACACACCTTTGAGTTTTCTTTACACTCTTTTATTATTTCTCCCAAACTAACGAAGTACTAGCTAACAGAGTACTGTTCAAGAAGCAGAGAAAGCAGGGATATTTTTTCCTATGCTTTTATGTGACATCCCAGGCCTTCCTTTTTCACTTGTTAAAGAGGAAAGAACAGGGGTGGGCTGCTGGGGGTTTGCAGGGGTTCAAGAGGGCCCCAAGCTAAGATTATGTGCAGTTCAGAGAACCCCCAAATCCCACTCCTGGCTGGCCCTGCCCCATCCCTCCCACCCCTCCCAGGAGTCCCCACGTGGCATGTTTTGGATGCAGGTAAGTGTAGGGTGCGCCCGGAGGCTCAAGGAGGGAAAAATTTGGGCCTCTTGGAAGTTCAGGAAGGCTGGAAAATGGGCCTGTTTTCAGCTCCCAGAGAGCCTCTGGAGCCCGGGAAGGCCGTTTTCGCCCTCCTGGAGGCTCAAGAAAAGCCTCCAGAGCCCAGGGAAGGAAAAAACAATGCCCCCAGCCGTGGTGCCCAACATGGCCATGATCACCCAGCAACCAGGCAGAGAAAATTTTGCTAACATTTTTGAATCCTACCTCAGGGAAAGAATATATCTGGACATACTCAGATTAAAAGCAACCTAAATTCACTGAATTTGCTATTATTCAGATTTACCACTCAGGTTCTTTTATAAGAATCCATCTAGAAGACCCCAACCTGAATTGAATTTCCCTCCTGCTGTATTCTCACATAATTAGAATGCTTTTTCTTGGATAAATTAGTTTCAAAAGACTATTAAGTATATTTATAGATTAAACAATCTGATTAAGTTATATAGTAATGTCTAGTAAATTTTAGCAATATCTACATTTACATTTTATTTAAAGTGTAACTGGAGTTAATTGTGTGTTTTTGCCTAGCCTAGTGGAACAGTCTCAGTTATATTGCTGTCTATACACACTTACCTGATTCTTAAGGAAAGAATAGCAAAGTTTGGAGAAGGAGCCAGTATATTTCACAAATACATCTGTTCAAACTGGACTTTGGTGGGTTGACATTGAGCAAATGATGGCAAGATCTCAGAAATATGGAACAAAAGGGACTGTCCTACCTTGCAGGGTTGAATATTTAAAAACCATTCTCCCTAGCATAAAATTATTCAGGGCCTTCCAGTTTTAAAATTAATCTGAGGGGAAAAAATTGGATGCTCATTTATCTCTACATATCCAGTGTTTGATTTAGATCAGAGACAGCAGTTCTGCACTGAAATTTTGGGGAAAGGAGGACCCTTCTGGCTATAAAAATATAAAGACTCAAGGTTAATTTATTTATTTTTGAATAAGGGCTTCTAGCAAATGGGAAATGGAAAATAGAAGGCTATTTATAGCATATAAAGATTTATAAGAAAATGGATATATCTGTTTGGGATTGATTTTCTCTACAATCCATTTATTTTTCTATGTTCAGAAATCCTGAACAACAGCTTATAAACAGCTTTTGTCAAATGCCTTGTAATACTGCCGCACTCCATTTAACAAAAAATAAACAAATAAATAACATAAATAAAAAACAGTTCTTCATAAATAGGCACATTCTTCAAGACCAAAACCTAAGTACTAAGCTCAAGTGAGGGGGGTGGGGGTGGGGGGAAACGCTGCAGGAAATTTCGTAGGACAGAACAATTACTTGCACTTAATCCTAACCTCTTCAATGAGTGACATTCATGCCATATTATTGTTAGCGTTGCATGTTAAGCAAGCAAATTTTCAATCAACTTGTGTTGGCTTTACCACAGACACAGATGTTAGGCGGACTCCTTTGTTCATAAGGTTCTCATTATTAACTCAAACCAAGCTGAATATTTGACTGAAGGAAAGACCATATCATTGTTTTCAGATTTCACTCTATGACTTAACTGAACTACATCTGCCAGCTTTAGAAATACTGAGTACTTCTTGGCGCCAGTACTGGCGCCTCAATCTATGACTACCAGCCTAAATGCTTCAACTTGAGGAAGTTTAGTAACCATGAAAACAACATAAGAAAAACTTAAATTGTAATTAAAAATTGCTCACAGACTGACAGGGTGCACCAACGTTTGCACTGTGTTGAATATATTCCACCAAAAAAAGAAAAGGAAATAGAATTCATAATTAAAATAGGTAGGTTAGAAAAGTCAGAAAGATGTTTTTATGATTTATGAAGTCAGCAACATACTTGAAACCATATTTATTTAATAGGTAAGCTAGCACTATGCTGTTCGTTTCCATCTGCTTTAAATCTATTATAAAAGGAGGCAAGAAGAATACTCCAAATATAAACATAGCTCCACTTTTCACCTTTTTGCAAAGCTAACTTTAAGTGCAGAGGGAAGAATTATAGACACCTCCAAAGATGCATGTTGATGTCAAACTTCCAAAATAAAACAAATGAAACTTCAGTTTTGATTGACAAAATAATTATAATTAAATGTTATGAAATTTTAAATTCCAGTGCTAGTTTTTGAAAGTTGCAATCAGCAATGCTCTGTTTTACATAGGAATCCTTCCTGCACAAACTAAAAGAAATAATACCCTATGGTCCAATCCCTATTCATTTCAGGGAGAAATATATCAGAGAGTAAATGTCAGTAAATTATTCATAAAGAGATAGATTCAGAGATAAACTTAAGATCTAGACTATTCGATTGAAATATATAGATTTATTAATTGAATATAAAATGATATTTTATTATCCAAAGTTATTCTTTTGTTAAAAGACCAGAAATTATTTTCAATAGGAAAACAAGAAGCCACTTAATTAAAAATATATCTTGCTTACCATGCTGTATATCTTTCATGTCTAAATGAAGACTGGACATTAATATACCGACTGCTTGTGATCTTTTGTTGCTTAATAATTTGACAACCTGTCAGGAAAGGAAAAAGGTATCATTTCCCACATAATAGCTAGCAAACATGCATTCCCAGCTTTCACATAATAAATTTGTAACACACATTATTTTTATTATTTTTATTATATTTGTATTATTATTATTATCATTATTATTATTATTTAGCAACGGCATATCATACATAGACTAGCAATATATATTAACATTGTAACACACAAATTATATGGAATAAGTATAGTAAAATGATGGTTTCTGATTCAGTTTAATACTACATCTGACAGCTTTTAATTTTGTGAAGAAAATGTGTGCATAATATATTAAAGAAATTTCTACATGTCTGTTACAAAAAAAACCTCTATAAGAGGTTTTAAAAACATATACAGTATGCTTCTATTATTATTATTTATCTCATTGGCATTAACAGTTTCAATCAATATTTCAGGTAAATAATAATAAATAGTAAGCAAACAGGCAAAGAATAATTTGAGAGGTGAAAACATATTTCAAATAATATTTTACCCACATTTAAGTGCTTCATCAATCTATCTTAACTGACTGCTGGTAATTGTAATTCAGTTAGGGCTATATTCATGCAACATATATTCGCCTGTTATTCTGTGCTATCCATAATTTCAATACTTTTTAAAAATCAGTTTCTAAAGAATTTTCTCAAATACCCCGATGTTGAATGTAGCTTTTATAGAGTAATAGAAAAAGCTGGAAAAAGTCACTGACTCCCACTGACATTCTTTTATTGAATCCCAGAAGCTGCTGGAGATTTTCTATGGTTAGTATATACATTGTTTAAAATATTAAAGTTAATTGCATTGCTATAATTAATATATGTAACATGACTGAAGTTTGACTCAAATTAAATAATTTATAGTCACTTAATAGAACAGAGGCCAGCACATCAGTCGCTTTAAAATATGAAATAAAGTATTCACAGACAGAATTCAAAGAACTGCAAAGATCTAGCCAGGAAAAGAAATCAAAGCCTTGCCAGAAGTAGTTCCAACTTTGGACACAAATCAAGAGTCAAATCGGCAGTAGAAGAGATGTGTGGTGGCTCAATGGCTTAATGATGCTGGAGATAGTCTCTGCTCTGTTCAAGCTCAAATCCTAATACTGTATGGCAGGGTGGGCTCCCACCACTCACTTTAGTCCATTTAACAGTTCAAAAGCATGCTCTATGTGAATAGATAAATAGGTACCACTTTGGTGGGGAGATGAATTGGTGCTCCATGCAGGCAGTCAAATTCCTGCCAGCTCTTAACTTTCCTGGTTATGGCACCTATTTATGAGGTAGCTTGGGGAAGAAAGGGAGGAGGCTTAGTATAATGCTGCAGAAGCTATTTATCTTTCTTTTTAATGCAAGACAAGCTTGTCCTCCTGAGGCGCACCTTGCTAAGTGTGTAAGTGTGTCTGACAACAAACTTGGCACATTGGCAACCAAACTCTGCAATAGCATTGCAATCTCCTGGCTAACGGAACAACATCACACAAAAGCAGGAGGAGGAGGAAGTAGTAGTAGTAATAGTAGTAGTAGTAGTAGTAGTAGCAGCAGCAGCAGTAGTAGTAATGCTGGCCAAACCAGGCACTTTCTCTTCTGCTCTCTCCTCAGAAAGAATATAGTGTTCTAAATAAAAGAAGAGCTGAAACAAAGAATAACTGATATCTCAAACAGCAGAAAAGCAACATAATAAAGTTATGTGTATTGAAGCTTGCACTAAAGAAACAGCTAGCACAAGTATTAAAAGATGCCTGTACTGTAACATCAGATATAAGCAGCAGGTGACTGTAAGAAATAAGCCAACAATGGCTTCAGGTATAATTTAATACCCTGGATGCAAAATCAACAAACAAGAATAAAAGCCAAGTAGTGCACCAGCAAAATTGAAGTTAAAGCTAGAAAAGTAGATCAGCAAACTAAGATCAGATGCACATAAGCTAGAACAGATGAAAGAAAAGAAGCTGAAGATGACCAAAGAATATCTGATCAAGAAATATCATCTAGAAAAAAAGGAAAATTAAGAAAGCACGGAAATAATAAAGCAGCTAATAACTGCTACAGTCAGAAAGATCAGCAAATATGAAGCTTAAACTGCATGCTGTAAGGTAGAATCTCCAATTTCAATCAAATCAGTAACTTTTCTATCAATCCATTAATGGAGAGACTGCAGTGAATCAGTGAACACTCAGCAAAAAAAGGAAACGGTAATTAATGTTCAGTAGTAGGATTAATTTTTTTTTACCACCAGTTCTGTGAGTGTGGCTTGGTGGGCGTGGCAGGGGAAGGATACTGTAAAATCTCTAGTCAGAGGTGGTATTTGCCAGTTCTCTGAACTACTCAAAATTTCCACTACCGGTTCTCCAGAACTGGTCAGAACCTGCTGAATACCACCTCTGGTAATGTTCTGGTTGTCGCTATCGGACAACTAAAGAAATACAACAAAAATACAACTTGGATAATTGAGGTGGATAAGAATTATTTTAAAAAGCTGAAATGAAAAAAAACATATACAGATATTCCTTGACTTATGACCACAATGAAATCCAAAATTTCTGTTGCTAATTGAGACAGCCATTAAGTGAATTTTGTCACATTCTACATCCTTTCTTGCCACAGATGTTAAAGGATTCACTGCAGAGATTAAGTTAGTAACACAGTTGTTAAGTGAATCGGGCTTCCCCATTGACTTTGCTTGTCAGAAGTTTGCAAAAGGTGATCACATGACCCCCGGGACACTGCAACTGTCCTAAATGCATGCCAGTTGCCAAGTGTTTTAATTTTGATCACATGATCATGGGTTGGGTTCAATGATTGCATGAAAAATTGTCATGTCATTTTTTTTCAGTGCCGTTGTAACATCAAACAGTCATTAAATGAATTGTAAATTGAGAACTATGTGTAATAACAGCAGACAGGGTGGGAAAAAGGGAAGTAAGATTAAGAATTATTCAGTACCAGGTGAAGATGAACTGCATGATGATTGCTGAAATGTCTGATTGATCTACATCCAATGACTACCAAGCAGTTTAATAATATACTGCAAGGAGGTGAAATTGAAGATTGGTCAACATCTAGCAAAACTTACTTGATAATGAAGTATCCTATCAGAAAGGCACCACCAGGTAACTATAGGCCAATTATCAACAACTTTCAAATGGCTAACTGATGTGATAGCTGAAGCAGTCCAACAGTGAAACCTCAGGTTGTGAACGCTCCTGTTTGTGACCAAATCAGATTCCGACCAAAAAATCCACCTGATTTTTGAATCGGGCCACGATTCAAAAATCAAGTGGTGAACAAACTTAGTCACGGCTGATTCCCTTGCTGCGGCATCCCCTTCTGTGCATGTGCAATCCGTCCGCACATGCACAGTCGGTCATGCTTCCAGTCACGACCAAATCAGGTTGTGACCCTAGTCCTGGAACGAATTACAGTTGTGACCTGAGGTTCCACTGTTGTTGAAGAAAGCTGTTTCCACCTGAGCAGAAAGAAAATTGCCCAAATAGCAGAGGAACAAAATTCTTACTGACAAGATAATTTTGGAAAACTGCAAGAGAAGGAAAACCAATCGAAAGTAGCTTGGATTGGTTTACAAAAATGCATTTGACTCTCTGTCATATGATTGGATAACCAAGTACCTAGAAATAACAGGAGTCAGGAGAAACATCAGCAACTTTATGTAAAAAACAATGGCACTATAGAAGACATCAAGGTCCATGGCGATTGCCTGGGAGAAGTTAATATCAAGAGAGGAATATTTCAAAGAGACTCACTATCACCATTATTGCACTGATTCCTCTGACAATAATACTGATCCAGTCAGATCATGACTATCAAACATTTATTTATTTCATTAAATTTAAATGCTGCCCATTTCCTTAATAAGGCAGCTCTTATCATAAGAGCCATAACTTATCATATAATACACGTCTGCCAGGCTATACCACTTCCTTTACATGGATGATCTGAAGCTGTATGGAAAAACACCAGCTGAAATAAAACCACTGCTCAACACTGTCCATATATACAACCAAGATATTGCAGTAGAGTTTGGATTGACAAATGTGTCACCCTCATCATCAACAGAAGAAACATAATGAAAACCGAAGGAATCAAGATGCTCTATGGCAATAATATCAAGAATCTGGATGAAAACAGTAACTACAAATACGAAGCAAACATCCTCAAGCACACTGAAATCAAAAAGGTTAGAAGTGAGTATATCAGAAGAATGAATTTTAAAATCCAAACTTAGTGAAGGAAATACCATGAAGGCTATTAACACCTGGGCAGTTCCATTCATTAGCTATATTGTACAGCTGGAATAGTGGACTGGACTCAAGCAGAATTGAAAAGTCCTCAATAGAAAGACCAGAAAAATAATTACAATGATTTATACCCTTCATTCATTCACACTGCAATATTGACAGACTCTATTTACCAAGGAAAATAGGAGGGCTTGGAGTATCGCAAGTACATCAGACAGTGGAAAAAGGAAAAAGGACAGTGAAGAAGATGCTCTGAAGCTAGTACATCATGAAGGTTTACAAAATACCAAAGAGACCAAACTATCCTATAAGAAAGGTCAAATGAAGAAGAGAAAAGAGAACACAGGTAAGGCAAAGCATTACATGGGCAGTAGATTTTTTTTTTAAAAAAAGCAAGCAATCAGATCTGGCCAGTGGCTAAGAGCAGGGAAATTGAAGAAAGAAACAAGAGGGGCTCATTCTGGTTGCATAAGACCATACTTTCTCAAGTTGCATTCCTGCCCGAGACCCACCTTTCTTTTTTCTTACAGTTGCCTTGATAGTGCTTTTTCCTCCTGTTACTCAAGATTATTCCTTCCACCCGTTACACTCAGAAGAGAAGTTAATTAATTAATATATCCAGTCATCTCATACAAGTGATTCTGTGTGGATTACAAGGATTAAAACACAGAAAACCTCACCACATATTACCCTCAGCATCCAAGGATAAACAATATCCCCAGACATTAAAACAC